CTTATAATATAAAATTAAATACTGCTATAATATAATCCTTATTTTCAAATATTATCAAAAAAAAATTTATTTAATTGATGATCTGGGAGTCATGTGAAGAATGATCTTAGTGTAACGTGATGGAGATCATATATAAAAATTACTATAGGCAGAAATGCAATATGTGCCTAAGGAAAACTTTTTTCTTACTAAGTTAATCGCCCTTCTCTATTAAATAAAAGTTGTAGAGCTCGTTAAGATGCATCTAATGACAGTTATATCATCCAAATCGGCCTAGTGAATGCCGAGATATCTTCGAAAAACGTTTTGCTAACTATATAAAATTCTATGTATTGTTTACATAGAATTTTATATAGTTAGCAAAACGTTTTCGAAGATATCTCGGCATTCACTAGGCCGATTTGGATGATATAACTGTCGTTAGATGCGTCTTAACGAGCTCTACAACTTTCATTTAATAGAAAAGGGCGATTAACTTAGTAAAAAAAAGTTTTTCTTAGGTATACGCTGTATTTTTGCCTATAGTAATTTTTATATATGATCTCTGTCACGTTACACTAAGATCATTCTTCACATGACTCGCGGATCATCAATTAAATATTTTAAAATTTAAAAAATATAGATCATAACCATATTTATGATAATTTTCCAGGCAAATTTGCCTGGAAAAGCCTATAGTTTAAAGGATAATACGTAATTGTATTGTACTTCTATATTGTAGATGAATATAATATGCCAAAATATAAAGTGGATATAAGAATTCTTCATATTGTCGATTAAAAATATAAATTGTAGAGATCTTAAATATATTTATTTCAAACAAGCGTTTAATAGCTATAGCCAACTTGATTAGATATGCAAAGCAATCAGCTAATGTTGCTTCATTAGTCTCTAATATATAGATTACTTCTTTTATAGGTTGCCAAACAGAACGCACTTGTCGACATGTAATAAAAAAATCCTCATTAGCCATTAAATTAGCTATTTCTTGATTCGTAATTGCCACATTATGCTCAAAAAGTAACTAAAAATAATTTATTTTTATTAATATATGTAATAATTATAAAAATATTTAATAAATTATATTTACCCAATCAAAAATGAGCCATGCATGAAGCATTAAATCTGTAGTAAAATATAATAAGTTTTTATTCATGTTTTTAGCCTATCACCTTTAATTTTCATATCTGTAAATTCTTTAGTAAGCAATGAATGACTTAAATGAGAAGTATTAAAAAAATGATTAATTTTTCTACAATCAGCAATTAGTTTTTTCAATTAGTCTAATTTAACTAAATCAGTAGCAATAAGATTAATCACATGATTGTCCTCGAGGATAAAGAACTTCCAATGGAGGAAGTCTGTCTTAAAATCCTAAGCCGGGTGTCTGAAAATAAGGGG